TCTACACCTGAAACTAAAATTATGATGTATTTTAATATTACCCTGTATGCTAACTGGAATTTAAATAAAAACTTGAAACTAAAAAATAAGTAAAAAAAAAATAAATAAATAGATTGCAGCTAAATGCTACAAAAACTCACAAACCCAGGAATGTAATGCAATCTTTAATTAATTTTATTATAATTTCACCCCCTCTATAATACATTTCATTCCCTACATTCTTCGACTGCATACCCTTTGCGCATCTCTTAATGCGATAATGACTTTTAAATATTGTCCTATATAAAGAGGTAGAAAGACACATCAGTCTTCTAACACAGTTGGTCAAAAGTTGTTCTTTTTTTAAAAAAAAAATCAGTCGTAGTTTAGAAAACTTTATTTTAGCTTCCCATTCATTACTGGTAGTGGAGGGAGGCTTCGGATAACCCCAGCGCTCTGATCTCACTGTCATGCCAAGCTGATGAGGTCGGCCGGCTTTCACCACACCGAGGACCCCTCCCAGCCCTACCTAGCTGGGGAGGCTCTCAGCGGGGGCTGTGCCAAGTCACGTGACCCTCAAGCTAAGAGGCGAGCAGTGTCTCAATCAGATTCTTGTCACTGAGGAAGATGCTGATGCTCCATGGAATCCTCGGAGTGCAGGCTGTCACCGGGGACTCTTGTCCGAGGCCCACCCCCTTCTCCTGCAGCTCCAAGACCACCACCAGGATAAGAAAAACGACCTCCAGACTAGCAGGACTCCATTCCTCCGCTGTCTTGGAGTGCAGCTGCTTGCTGGTACCAGAGCCAGGGGAGGGTCTATCAAGTTCAGGGCGCTGCAGCTGAAACATTAGCTTCACGTAAACAGCATGTAGCAGGAACGATCGAAAACAATATTAACAAGAACAGCAGTAATAGTCATAATTCTTAGAGGAACGATTACTTCCCACTCATATATCCATGGAAAGGAGAAGTTCTCTTATCTCCACAAGTGATAATATAAGAATACTCATAACTTCTTTCTGCTTCCTTAACCATTCCACCCAAAGGCAAGAGAATGGGAAAGTTTAGGAGGCACACCTCACCATGCTTGGCTCAGCCCTGCTATTCTCTCTCCTTTCGGATCTGCTGCCTCCACAGAAGGAGCATTCTGGTCTGCCTGGGTCCAGGTGGTGAATGACCAACCTTATTAGGGAGACCTGCTGTTGTCTTGCTGTGCCATCAGGAGCTAAGTCCATTTAATTCAGGAATAAAGTATCAGCAAGCCCATCTGGCCACAGATCTAAAATCACTTTGTCCGATCAGCTTTATCTGAAATAAAACTAATATTGTATTTTGATGTCCCACCTCTAATTCCTGCCTTTCTTCCCCTCGTTCTCCATATTGGTTCTGAATTTCAGAGAGGAAGGGAAGAACTATGTACGGGATACCTTACAACCCTGGTAATAAAGACCAATTTGGGGACACTTTTAAAAACAGGTGAAACTAATAAACTAGACAACAGTAACACGGGAGAAGAGAGAACAGAGCTATTGATTAAATGTAGTCTTAAGTCGAATGCAGCATACTCAAAATTTAAGGGTAACCTCTAATATAAATAGAATCTATATCTTCCAGAATGTTGAAGAAGGAAAAAGGTAACAAAATCAATCCAATCAGAATCAGAAAAAACCCAAATAACAAGAAAAACAATGGTAAATAGAACACATAAAATGGTAGAAATAAATCCAACTATCAGCAGTCCTAATGAATGTAAACATCGAATTCAGCTGTTAAAAAGCAGAAATTATCTGAATTGAAATACAAATTCTGTATGTCTGACTTTGCAAACAGAAAAGATTTGAAGTAAAATTATGGAAAAAAATACCAAATACTAAACAAATGAAGGTAGAAAAGCAATACTAATCAGATGAAATAGAATTTAAGGCAATAGGGGCGCTGGCTGGCTCAGTAGGTAGAGCATGTGACTCTTGATCTCAGGGTTTGTAAGTTCGAGCCCCACATTGTGTGTAGAGATTACTTAAAAATAAAATCTTTAATAAAAAAGAATTTAAGGCAATAATATTAGGTATTGAAAAGGACGACCATTGGGGTGCCTGGCTAGCTCAGTTGGTAGAGCATGGGACTCTTGATCTCAGGGTCGTGAGTTCAAGTCCCAACATTGGGCATAGAGGCTACTTAAAAAAAGGGGGGGCTATCATTTAACAATAAAAAGAATAATTACCAAAAAATTATAATAATCCTGACTTGCATGCACCCAAAAATATAGCCTTAAAATATATATAAAGGTAAATAATGATATATATACTAAAGGAATTATTAAATCCCCCCATCATGATAGGTACTTTTTAAAAAGATTTTATTTACTCATTTGTGTGAGAGAGAGAGACAGCACAAGCAGGGGGGCAGAGGGAGAAGCAGAGTCCCCGCTGAGCAGGGAGCCTGACCCGGGGCTCCATGCCAAGACCCCAAGATCATGACCTGAGCATGGTAGGTATTTTTAACACATCTCTCAGAAACTGATATAGAAAGCTTATAAATAATTAGGAAATATAAAATGTTTCGAACAACACAATTAATAAGCTTGCTCTAACGAACGTATACAGAAACCTGCCCCCAGTAATTAGGGAAAACAGATAATTACTAGAGAGTGACACAATCCAGTCACAACAAATACCAAAGAATTCATTTCATACACAGCACATTTCATATCACAATGCAATATCATCAGAAATTTAAAAGCCAACAAAGTAATTTAGAAATTCTATCACTTTAAAAACTAAAAAAGCATTTTAAGACAGACTGATCGATCAATCAATAGATAAAATATATGAAAGGGCAACTAGATAGATAGAGAAGAGATGATAGGATCATACCATAAAAACAATTTCATGAACTGGTTTGTCATTTAATAATACATTGGGCATCTCTTTCCATGTTAGTAACTGTAGATCCGTACCATCATTTTAATAATGACAGAGTATTTTGCTGTCTGAATGAACCATAACTTATTTGTTGTTGAACCATTTATGAGTCAACATTTTGGTTATGTGGCCGAGACTGCAGCTTGTCCCTTAAACCCCTTTCTCGTCTTTTTCCTTTGTAACGAGACTCCTAGTTTTTTTAGCTGGCAGGTGCTGTCTGGCATAGAGACTTATTTTCCAGTTTGCTTTGCTGTTAGGTGTGGCCATGTGACCAAACTGAAGTGTCATGTTCAAGTTTTAGGATGTATCCTCAAAAAGAAGAACTGTGCCTTTCTTCCTTCATATCTTCCTAGTGTTATCTCCATGCACTACTTCCTGTGTGTATGGATGAAACACTTGGAGGTCAATTAGGTATCTTGGACCACAAGGTAGAATCCTCATGTTTATGAGGATGTAGACACAAGATAGAATGAACCTGCATCACTGTTAATCATGGAGTTGCAATATCATGGAGTTGCAATGTGGATTGCTTATCTCAAGACTTTCATTTGCATGGCAAGAAAATAAGTATCTACCTTATCTAAGCTTTATTATTTGGGATTTTCCTGAATAACATGTTTTCCCAAATATTTTGCTGTAATGATCAGCTGCTATAAACATTCATTTGTGCCTATATTTCCCTACTTCTTCTAATGGAATGCATAAGTCATGGGATATATCCTTGTATCTGTTTTTTTAAAGATCTTATTTATTTATTTGAGAGAGAGAGAGCATGGGCGGAGGGGCAGAGGGAGAGAAGGAATCTCAAGCAGACCCCTTTCTGAGCATGGAGCCAGACGTGGGGCTTGATCTCACCACCCTGAGATCATGACCTGAGTCTAAATCAAGAGTTGGATGCTTAACTGACTGAGCCAACCAAGCGCCCAGGATATATCCTATTAAAGGTTTTTCAGATGTATTGCCAAATTCCACTCATTTTCACTTTGCCAATCAGATGGGCCAAAAATATGATTGCACTTTTTGGATTACTGAAATGGTTAAACATTTTTTAAAAATTGTTTGCCATTTGTGTTTATTCTATGTTGCTTTTGTAAGTTCCTTACCCATTTTTCTATCAAAGCATTCTTTTTCTTACGGATTTTAGAAGACTATATATTGAGTATTTAATCCTTTGTCTGTCTTACATATTAAAAATATTTTTTTCAGTCAGTTCATTGTTGTTAAACATTGATTGTGGTATTTTTATGTGGAATTTTTAAAGTTTATCAGGACTTTACTTTCTTTATCAGAACTTTAAGTTCTCTCTTCTTACAGACTATAGAAATATTTGCCTATGATATACTTTTGTGTGTTGTTTTATTTTTATTTGACTTATTTAGAAATTATTACTCCATTTGACATTTATTTTGTTATATTGTAGGGATCCAAATTTTTATTTCCCCAAGTGATTAACCAAACATTTCACCTTTTATTAAATAGGTCATCCTTTATCTCCTGATACAAAATGCCATCTCTAGGAAAAACTAAATTCTCCTTACATACAAGGATCACTTTTGAACTTTCAGTTATGTTCTATTAATATATATATATCTATTTCTCTATCAGGGCCATAACTTTATTCTAGCTTTTAAATATTTGTATAATAGTTGATATGGTATCTTCCTCCTAATAATTTTTTTTAATTTCTCAAAATGAACTTTATGCTTTTTTTTTATGTTCTGACAAAAAACAAAAGACAAATTCTACTAAATTGGGACTTATATTTGAATTTCATCATAGTTTTAGACTGATTTGCAATTATTTGACCCTTTTTCATTATAGACTCATCAATGATATTGATATGACCCACCAATATATTTTTTTATTTTCAAATGAAATCACTTTGATCTTCTTCTGAGTTATCAGACCCTCGAAATTAAGTAGGTCATGAAGCGTCTTGTATGAATAAAAAAGTCGTAAAAGCAGCCTTTGCCTCCAACGTGCTAATATTCCACTAAAGATCATTAAGATTGCATTGAATTGACATGAAGTCATGTAAAACAGAAATAAAACTCTCCATAACTTTATGATTATAAATACACCATCCGGTACTTACATCTTGCAAAGCTGGCTGGAATGACAAATGACAGCCAGAGCAGAGTGGGATTGATCTGGAATGGTAAAGCAGAGGGTAAAAAGCATTGCAGATGGCAGAAGTAGCATTTGGAGGGGGCAAGGCAAATTATGAGGCAGATTCACATGTGTTCTAGGCTAGCAAAGATAATAAGAATGTACAATAATTTTTAAAAAGGGAAATTAGGGAGAAGGGACCAATTGTTAGAAAACCTTTCAACATGGATCAGCAATATGGATTTTACAAGAGCAAAAATTTTGACTTATTATAGCTTCTGAGAATGGGTCTGAAAAATCAAAATGGTGCTTAAGAAAGATCATTCTTGCCGCAACGAGCACACGAGTGTGGAGTAAGAAGGTGATTAACAGACTGTTAAGGGAAGTGGCACAATAATTTACTTTGGAATATAATTTATTTACTCGATAATTTTTACTCATTATGTGCCTAGCTTTGCGTTAGCATTAAAATGACTTTGTTTGCACCCCAACATCTATTTTTACAAGGCCTTCTTAACAGATGTCTAATAACACCACTTACGAAGAGGGAGACATTCCCCAGGTACTTCTGTACTTTGTTCAACAGAAATTTAACTGCCCAGGTGGAGGTGTGATTGATGTTATTCAATGATTAATGCAGCAAACTACCTACTTTATCCTCTGCAGCAGAAATCTCCATTTAACCCCTTGGGATAGGTAAGTGCTTCATTTCTTAAGAAACTACAGTGAGATTAGGAAGAAGGGAAGGCTTCACAAAGCAATTAGGACGAGGGCAGTTGAATCCACCCTCCTCCTTATTGAAAAGCAGCTTCGACCAAGATATTACCTCCTGAAATAAACTTTAACCTCCAAAGGAGTTTGCAAGAAAATTTGAAGGAATATAAGAGGAATACATAAAACAGCCTTTAGGACAACGTTTCTGTTTTTTTTGTTTGTTTCTTTCTTTCTTTCAGTGCCTTGAGTCCAAGAGCAGAAAATCTCCCTGAAATAAGCATTTCTAAGTGCATCAGAGTTGCTTTCCAGTCTGCAAAAGCCACTTTCCTGTAGCATGAATATTTTATTTTTTTTCTTATCATGTAACTGACATCTACATGATGGGAAGCAAAATACTTTTGGTTCTTGTTGTCGCTGCTATTTACAACTGGAAGAGTCATCCGGAACTGGATCCATCCTACAAAAGAGAGCTTCAAAATAGGAGCCTCCTCTTGTGCCTTTAATTCCTCTCCACTTCCCCTTCGTCTTAATTAACAGCAGCAAAATGAGACAGTATGAGAAAAGATGAAAAAGTGCTGCATGTACGTATGGGTTTGTTTTGGGGGGTTTTGTTTTGGAAATGCATATTTAACTTTTGCTTTTAAAACCCACTTCCCGGGGCGCCTGGGTGGCTCAGTTGGTTAAGCGACTGCCTTCAGCTCAGGTCATGATCCTGGAGTCCCAGGATCGAGTCCCGCATCGGGCTCCCTG